GCCTTTGAGAATATTCCCTGGTGCACTGACATCAGCCAAGAGAGGAGGAACATGATTTCACCAATTTGAGGACAGGTTGTAGGACACTAAGCTGAGAGTTATTAGTCTTAGACACTGGCAGATACTCTTTACTTTTCACTTTTGAGACTGCAGGAGGGTATTTGGTAGCAATTCATGAAGGCTGTCTCCTGCACAGCATTCCCATCTTGTTATGTCTCAGCTGTCTCTTGTGAGATTGCTTTATGATCTCTCTTTACCGCCCTGCCACTGCATATCTGTTTGACCTTTCCTCTTTCCTAGAACTCAGACACCCAAACTCCTGGCAGATGCCAGCTGTGCCAGGTAAGCATCTCAGCAGCTTCCTCCAGAGATAACTCAGGCAAAGTGACAGGCACTTTGGAGAAGAAGCACTCTCAGGGGAACCCAGGAGGACATGGAGTGCGCTCCTACCTGTGGGTGCTGCACCATATAGTTGACTGCCTCTTCAAAATATTCCAGGTGGAGTTCAGTTGGCTCCTGGGGCAGGTCCTCATATTTGAAATAAGCCAGGGCCAGTGTGGCAAAGCCATGATTGGCCAACAGGCTGGCTCTGCGCTCAAAAAGACCTCCTGTGTATCCCTGTATGGTGATGATTCCAGGAAAGGTGCCTTCTCCTGTAGAACACAAGACAAAGAGCAGAATTGGCCTGAAATGACTCCTTTCAATGTTTCTCTAGTTTAGAATGCATCAAACCAGGTCCACAACAGGAACTGTAGAGGAGGGTCTTTTGGGGAAAGGACATGATCAGTCACTCAGCTGTGCAGTGTCAGCAGCTGAAAAAAACCCTGCAGTGTGTTGCAGAGGAAAAAAAGGGTCAGGAGCAGAACCTCTTGGGTAAGGTGCAAACCCTTATTTGTTTTAGGAATTAGCAGTATTTCTGCATTGTGCTTAGGGCCAACAGGCAGAGACTGGTGAAGGTGTCTTGTCCCAGCTTGCCTTCTCCCTGTAAGCAGCCCTGTAATAATGATCACTTCACCTGGCACTGTAAAAATCCTCAAGGTATCATGATTTGATAGATGTAATGCTATTAAACTAGAAACTGTAAGCATTTGTGTTTGTATTGTGGCTTTGGAACATTTGGGATCCCTTGAAAAGTGATAAGTGGGATCCACCCAACCAGCACTTTGTCTCTTTGGGGGTCATGTCTCCGACTGTGATCGGTATCAAATTCTGCGTAGGGTGCCATGAGTATCTCACTGGGTGATTGGAAGATCGTTGTTTGGATCTTCCCTTCTTGGCCCAGGATCTTCTTTTCCTCATCCTGTGAAAATCCTGCTCCTGTGCACCCAATGCTAGGGAAGAGGGTGCTCTGCATGTTGCCTTTCTATGGCCTGATGGGTTTGGGGATCGCAGGGCCCAGGGAAGCTCCACAGGCCCCAGGCCAGAGAACGTGTCCCTGGCCATGTTGGGAGGGGGTCAGACCCAGCTCACCCCTACTCTTGGCTTCAGGAGAGCCACAGGCCGGAGTGTGCTCATGCCCCCCACTCTTCAGGGATGCCCTCCTGCCACGGTCTCACACCCTGCACCACGGTAGCCTGTGCATCATCAAAAAGGGCTGCGGGAGGAAGGTGAGAACGTGCTGCTGCGGGTCATGGAGGAGAGGAGAGCGCACAGCATCTGCTCACTCTCTGCCTTGAACGGAGGAGAACCTTACTGTCCAAAGCAGTACTGTGCTCTTCCTTCTGCTGCTGTTTGCGTGCAGGCAACAGCCCATTTACTGTCTCTCCGTAGACTGCGAGCGCTCAGAGCAGTGGCTGTGCGCCCCAGAGGCCAGGAGTGCAGCTGCCTGTGGCCCACGGCTCAGCTGAGGGTAGCAGGGCTCTGTGGGCTTGCACTGCACAAGCACAGAAAAGGTGGTAACACTGAGTAAGGCTGTGGTGGGGGTGCTCAAGGGAGGTGGGATAGTCCTATAGCAAAAGCCCTTTGAGCTCTCCACCTTTATGTGGCCTTAGGTCGTTTGCTGAGGAGTATCCAACTCCTGAATCTGAATGTGGAAATGTAGGGCGTAGAGTGCACTCCCAGGAACGGAAAATCGTAATAGGAGTGTCTCAATGCAGGACAATTTGCATGTGGTGAAATCATGGTGGCAAAACGCATCTTCAAATCGAACTGCGTAACAGAAATACTTACTACAGACTAAGCTTACAGTCTTGCTAAGCTGAAGATTGGCTGTGCTGGCAGCAGGATGAGAATAAACTCATTCTATCCTGTGCCTGGGAAACAATTCAAAATGCCAGAGAGTGTGGCAAGGGCCTATCATTTTAAAACACACACAAAAGGAGTGGGTCAGAGGACACTGGGGAAATGCACCAGCATTTGGCTTACTGGCCCTGGCCTCGCTGCGGGTGGGATGCTGAGCCTGTGAGATCAGCCCTCCTGCACCCTGGACTCTGGCAGGGAAGTCTCTGTGTAGCTGCCCAGAAGATACTGCAGCCTGGTGGTGTCTTGGGCAACTCTTACACCTCAGAAAGGTGCTCTGCACCTTTTCCAGAGCAATTAGATGATTGCCTTTTCCTGCTGGAAAGTTTTCGTCCCTGTAAATGTTCTTGAGCCTTCCCTATTCCCCCTTTCACGAACCAGTGATGTTCACAGGACCCCCAATGTGGCGGACCATGGTCACCACATAGTTAGTTGCTACAGTGCTGGGGGGAGAGGGAGCATCCCCCAAACCCTCCCAGTGAGGAGGACTGCCAAGGACTGGCACAGAGCCCCTCTCCACCACTCTCTTCTGCAGCTTCTCATCTCCAGCAGCCCTCCAGCATGCTCACTTCCATTTGCAGCGCATTTCTCCACGTTTGTAACCTCAAGCTCTGGGCAAGAAGGGTTATTCCTCTGCCTGCTTCTGCAGCCGTGTCCTGGCACCTGCACAGCCAGGTGAATTGGGAACGATGGTCAGGCTAGTCAGTGGTGCAGGAGGGAGGGAGGGAGAGAGGGAGGGAGGGAAGGACAGGCGCTTTCATGTACTCCTCTTTAGAGAGGTCATGGAACAGACTGCCCTGACAAACATTAGTTTAGGGAAAACAGGATGGCCACAGCCAGTACTCACCGGGGGGCAGGAAAAGCGTTGCCCGGATCCTCCCCTCTCCCATTCCGCAGGAACACCCGCTCGTGCTGTGTCTGGGCCAGGAGCTGCCCGGGAGGGTCCCCGTGGCCCTCAAACACCTCCAGCTGCAGGAGGACGGGGCGCTGCACATCCTTCTTCACCATATACCAGAAGGGCTTCTTGGGCTGCAAAGCCCAGAGCAGCCCCATGGGCTCCAGGCCGGAGAAGCTGCCTCCCGGCAGCGCAGGGCAGTGAGCGAGGTCCAGCTCCCCATCATCCCCCGCCTGGTAGCGGGCGCAGGCCTGGAAGAGCTCACCCGTTTCGTCCCGCAAGGACG